AGTGCAGAGATCCATCAGCGCCTACCTGGCATGAGACCCAGGAGCAGGAGCAGGCTGGCGCCCTGCCCTGCCATGACGCTGCCGCCGTGCCGGGTGGTGAGGAGGAGCGGGAGCGGAGGAGGCTCCGAGGCGACAAGGCAGCCGGCCGTGCGGGGCTGCTTTTACATGCTGGGCCAGGGCGCTCCTCCCTGTGGGGCGGATGCCTTTGGGATGACTGAGTGGCTCCAAGCTGTGCGTGAGCGATGCCGCCCTGCTCCACTCCCTACCTGGTAATTAAGCATCACCATGCTATGTGCTCCCATCCAGCCAGGTCCGGGCTGGGGGGCACTTCAGGCAGCGCGGGCAGGGGTCCCACCATGGCCTGGGGCACCCTGAACAGCGGAGCAGGGATCAAGGGGACTGGGGACCCCATGGGGCCTGGTGTGTGGTACCCTGGTGTGGGCACTGGCGGGTGAGTGTGGCCGGTGGGACCCTGTGGGAGCAGCTCAAGTGTGGCTGAGCACTGCTGCTGCCTGGAAGTGCCAGCTTGGCCCCATGCAGGTCCCAAAAGGATTTTGGTCTTGGGGCAGGACTCCAGGGCAATTGGAAGAGCTTAAAGGTGTGGTTCGAGCATGGGCTTAAGCTCCTGCAGATCCCTCCTCTGGTCCTGCCCCCTCAGTGAGCGGGCACAGGGATGCCATGGCCGTCTGGGGACTGTGGCACTCACCAAGCCCGTGCTGGTGCTGCTGGCACTGCTGAAATACAGTGCGGAGGCATGGCGGGTGCTCCGGGCTGTGATCGCGGCACAGGGACGTGGTGGCATGGCGGCAGCAGGGACAGCACACCCTGGGCCATGCTCAGCACAGCGGAGGGGACACACAGCGTGGCTGGAGGAAGCTGGGACAGACGGAGGGGAGGAAGAGAGGGCCCAAAACCTGCTGGGATCTGAGGGCAGGGGCTGGGGACAGGGATGCTCAGCAGTGATGGAGGAGCTGGGACAGGGATGCTCTGCAGTGATGGAGGAACTGGGGACAGGGATGCTCTGCAGGAGGCGTTGGGGCCACGCTGGGGATGCTCAGCCCCTTGGGAAGCCCCAGCCATGGGCCCTCTCCGTGCCCGTGCCCCTTGGAGGGGCTGAGCCCCCGCGCTGTGGGCCAGGGTCAGGCCCCATGGGTGGCTCAGCCGGGCGATGCCCGGCGGCACAGCTCAGCCGTGCTGGTGC